AATGAATGAACCAATGATTTTATGTGGACTAATGTGGTCAGTACTGTGTGTGTGTTTGAATAATTGAATGAAAAATGAAAAGGCACTTATGTTTTATGAGTCTCAAACAATGTAGCGGTTTACGACTGTGTCTTTGTGTGTGTCACATTACAGAGGATACTCACCAGCTCCTCTTTGTTTTTGTTTTTTTTACAGCTAATGTTTAATACTAGCACATTATTTTCTGTAGGCAATTCTTTATAAAACTAAGTCGGATAAGACTTGAAAAGAAAATTGCGCAGCATCATAACCAGTTTATAAGCATTAAAACACAGTCTGCTGGATGATATGTTTAGGCTATGCATTTTTTATTCAATTCTTTTATGAATATAGGTTAGTGACCTACAAAATCTGATCATTTCATTTGAATAGAGTAAAAAAATCCCTTTGTTGAGATAAACACAGTTTTTGGTTTTTTTTTCGTATTGTAGTGTTAAAAAATAAAATTCAATATTCAGTGTTTTATCGCTGTTAAAATCAAAAGGCCTTGTTACTGAATATTAAACTAAGGCTAACCATTGGTTTTACCTAAAGCCAGTTTGGCCAACAATTTCATTAAATGTGTGGCATTATAATTCTAAAATTAATAAACATGATAGCAGTTCTGAAAAGTAATCTTACAGTACATATATATATATATTTTTTTTTTTTAAAAATAGAAAAAAAAAAAAAAAAAAGAATAAACGTAAGAGGCCTATTGATCTTCGTCTCGGCCACGTGCAGAGCGGGATTATCCCGCTCTGCACACAGTAACCTTATGCAAGCCAACTTGCAAAGCAGGTTGTGGTGAGCCTGCGTACGCTTTGTTGCTGTTAGGCTTTTTAACCCATATTAAGCCTATTGGTTTATTGGGATTCGGCTATTTAAAATATTATGACAATTGAAGCTATGGCAATAAGCCAATTAAAATTAATCAAGTAGTGACATGTTAGCCAACACACTCTGCTCTCGTGAAGGGGTTTTATGAATGATTTATTTATTATTTTTCATTTTTATATTATTTTTTATGACCGAGGATTTTTTGTTTTTGTTTTTAACTTTGACCCTTGAGGCCGCAGTAGGTTTCTCCACACCTCCGCAAGCCTCTGCGCATATTACGTGTTGCGTTCTTGCGCTTGTGAAATGTTCCGCAGGTTTGTTTTTTTGTTTGTTTGTTTGTTTGTTTTTTTGTTTTTCCCCTTCTCAAACGATGTAAAAGTAATTGCGTCGCGTATAGCGATTAATACTAAAAGGACAGAAAATGACTCGTCGTCACGCTGAGTTCACCGCGGAGGAGGCGCATTAAGGTTGACAGCTTTCCAGCTCTTTGACGAGACCACGTGCTTTTAGCCTGTGACGTGCATAATATTTCCAAAATAGTTTACATTTACATTATATTTGATAAATTCTTGTGGAAACGCAAATGTGCTTCCCGTAGCGTGGTCTGTGGGGACCTTCTGGGCAGTTCACTGTGACTCATTAACGCACCAGAACGTACCGTGAAGGCCTTTCTTTCTCAGTAGAGATTTACTGTGTATTTTTTTAGAGAACGAACAGAACTTGAAAATATGATAGCTTAATGCTTGATCTGTATGGAGAATTTGATTGACAGGGCTGGTGAAAGTGCAGGCCTAATCACTCACTGTGAAAAATGACCAGCTTGATTGTCTTGTCATAGACATGCTGCAAAATAACAGCTTGGCCTGATCTGTGTTGAACCGTGGCTTGGAGGTTTTTGCCCATTCTGGTGAACAAAGGTCAGTGAATGTGATGTGACATGAAGAGATAAGATGAGTTCGGGCTTAAGAGGCCAGCGGGTAAAGCTGCAAGTGCAAGCTACTAGAGATATTTGCAAAAAATACTATCGCAGTTTTATTATTAGGTTATCAAAGTGAGTTCTCACTAATTGTAAGATTTTAACAGACCCAACTGAGTTAACTATAATAAAGGGTAACATAATTTTGTTTTTGTGATAATCAAAAAAGTAATTCCATGTAATTCCTTTTTATTTGCCAGAGCCTTCTTTATTAAAATCTAGATCCTTTCTTTGTTCTATAGGCTGCAAACACACCTGCCATTATTCTTCAAAAACACTAAACAAATGTTCATGCCTTCTTGTTAATTCCTTCTCCTCATGTTCCCTTTGCCCATATTTTAGGTGACTGCAATCTTCTTTCTTTTTCACATTTTTACTTGTTCACTGTGTGTGTGTTTGAGGCAGGCGTATGTTAGTCTGAGCAATCGGCACCCGGCCTGGCCCTGCTTGGTCCAGATGGGTCTGCCCCCCCTGCAGTACCATTGACAAGCCAGTCAGGGAGCCAGGCAGTCCGCTTCCCACCCGGGTAGCCAACCAGGCGCTTCCACAGCCAGCTCACGGGCCAGTCCTGTAGACTTTGAGCCAACCTGCCAGCCAGTCATGAGCCCTCTCCTCTGTCACACACCGACAGAGGAGCAGGGCCAGACTCAACCTAATGGTCAAACTGCAGCCAACCAGAGGAGGGGCCTTTGTACGGTCTTCACATAGACAGCCTGTCCAACTACGCCACGACACAGTCACATCCACGATTCTTCAATTTTGCAACAAGTTATCGTCTTTCTTGTGGCAGCGGCAGCCCATTCCTTCTTGGTCAAATTGCTGGAATTTCCTGTGACCACTTCGACATTTTTGAATTGACTTTATTTGTTAAATCCTCAGCGTGTAGTTTATTTTGAGGATTTTAAACTTCTAATTCAATATTTATTTTTAATGTATTTTTGTTGAAGACTTTCTTACTAAAAATGACACATACACTGGTCTGCATGTTCATTTTCAACCCGTAGAGACAAGTAAAGAGCGTTAGAGTTCTTTTACATAAAGAAAACTGTTGTTATAATACAAGCACAATTAGCCATGACTGATCGAGTACAGCTGCTTTATTGTAAACATTAATTCAGTACTGGCAGCACAACTTTCCATAGGTTTTACCCCCTTCTACACTGTATCACGGCACACACTCGCAATTCAGTTTCACGTTGACTTATCAGAAACAAATTTTACTAGGAAACTTTTTAATGTATTTCTGTCTTTCTGCTGCCGAGACTATTAAAAGTGAAGTTACAAATCGAGAAAAAAACTGGCAATAATGGGCCAGTTTGGATGTGAAAGTGCATTTTGAAACGGGAGAGCATGTTTTTGGATGCTATTATTTTGTTGGGGTTGAAGTTGGGGGGTGGGGGGGCATTTTCTTTCCCCCCTCCTCTCTTTGTTTGTGTGGTAAATCCAGGAGCAGCTGCTGGACCCAGGGTCTAGTGGGATTTTGGGCCTGTGTTTTCTCATGCCATCCCATGCCAAGGTGGTGTAACGCGAGGAGAGAGAGGGAACGGGAGAGAGTGGTGCATGGGGGTGGTGCGGTGGGGGCACAAGTTTACTGGGCTGATTGTGGCTAGGCTGGTGACGCAGGCATTTGGGTGGGGGCTGTAGGAGGCAGGCGCTGTCTGGATTGGACGCATGTAAAATGAATATCCTTTGGACTTTGCTCTAGCACTAGATTGGAACTTGTCTATTTGGCTAATGATGTGCCTTCTGCCAGCACCGCACACACAATCCCTGCTCTCTCTCTCTCCCTCTCTCTTCCTCTCTCTCTACTGCCACCCCCCACCTCCCCGCTTCTCGCTCTGCCATGTCTCTCTCATCCCTCCCTTTCAGTGCTTGGAGCGTGCGTATTGGCTGGGCTGACTGCGACTGTGTGCCAAATAGGTGGGCCCTGCGCACGTTGGCACTCACTCACTCAATGGTTAGAGAAGGAAAGTGGAGAGGAAGAGAGAGACAGAGTTGGAGAGAAAAAGGGGAAAGAAGCGGCACCCGGGTTTGCCAGCGGTCGTGCACACTCGGCCAACATTGATTCGCTCTTCTTGTTTTGCGTTGCTTTTTTTTTTCTTCTCTACTCCTCCGTTCGCACCCCCCAAGTCCAGCCCTCTCTCCCTCTACCCGAGTCGTACACATATCGTTTTGAATTGAACTCATAGCATGCGCTGCTTTGACAACAACTTTTTATGCTTTACTATTGATTTATTTTTGGGAGGGCTTCCAGCTAGTTTAAATGTTTTCCTAAATTGTACTTTTTACATAATTTTTTATGTTTTATTTTTTGAAAACAGATAAACTTGCGTGCACTCTCCTTCTTCTGTGCTCTTGAACAGACTTCTCGTACAACTTCTGCCACAGTACCTCCTGTGTTTCTGAGCTGCTATTACAACGTACCGTCTTTCTCAGCCCTTGTCGGCTTTTGAGGGACACTTCCTCAGCTTTTGGCTGTTTTTTATTTTTTCATCTTTGCTTTCTTTGCAGTACAGACATTTTATAGTGCTGTGACTTTTTATTTTTTGCACTCGTCGGGTTGAATTTATGATGAGAAATCAAAATGGTAACTACTCTGTATTTCTTCTTTCAGCATATTTCTGTGCAATAAGAATGATATAACTGCACTACTCAATCATAATACAACTGAACGCTTGAATTGTATACAAATTAATTGTTGTTTAAAGCTAATATATACAAGTTGCTGTTGCCAAATCCTTTTTGGTTGTGGCCTTTTTAGAGCATTGTTTTGGATGTGAACAACCAAATTAAAATGCATTGAACACTGTAATGGGAAACTTGGATGAATATTGTTGTTTTTCTCATTCACATCCTTTTCACTGAAATGTGTCAAAGTAAGTGTGTATTTGGCTGTTCAAGGGGACAAGTGCCTGTAAGGTGCGTGTCTCCAGCATCCCTCTCTCTCTTCTCTCTTTCTCTCTGTCTGTTTGTCTCTCGCTCTGGCTGCTCAGTCTCTGAGCGAGCGCAGAGCGAGTGGCGCTCCTCCATGCTGCGTGCCGGTGCTAACTGCCTGTCTTCTCTCTTCCCCTCCTCACCCCCTGTGCCTCTCTCCCCATCCTTCTCTCCCCCGTTCTCCCCCTCCCTCTGCTCTTCCACCCTCCCCCCATCCTCCTCTCTCGTCCAGGATGAATTCCACCCTTTCATCGAGGCCCTGCTGCCCCACGTCCGAGCGTTTGCTTACACCTGGTTCAACCTGCAGGCCCGAAAGCGCAAGTACTTCAAGAAGCACGAGAAGCGCATGTCCAAGGAGGAAGAGCGCGCCGTGAAGGATGAACTTCTGGGGGAGAAGCCAGAGATCAAGCAGAAGTGGGCCTCGCGCCTGCTGGCCAAGCTCCGCAAGGACATCCGGCCCGAGTTCCGTGAGGACTTTGTGCTCACCATCACAGGGAAAAAGCCCCCCTGCTGTGTGCTGTCCAACCCCGACCAGAAGGGCAAGATCCGCCGCATCGACTGCCTGCGCCAGGCTGACAAGGTGTGGCGGCTGGACCTGGTGATGGTCATCCTGTTCAAGGGCAGCCCCCTGGAGAGCACAGACGGGGAGCGACTGGTCAAATCACCACAGTGCACCAACCCGGGCCTGTGTGTGCAGCCACACCACATCGGAGTGTCCGTCAAAGAACTGGACCTGTATCTGGCCTACTTCGTCCACACGCCAGGTATGTGCCGCTGGGACAAACAACCCAAACACATGCACGCACAAACACACTCCAGCACTAATGAAACACTACTGTTCACTTAATTTAAAATACATGACATTTCAGTTAAAATAGAATAAGTGTAGTGAATAATTTTAAGCAATATCTGGCAAGAATATTTAACAATTCTTAACAGTATTTCAATATTTACAATTTACCATAAAAAAGTGTGTGTAAACAGCACTGTATCATTCTTCAGAACCAGGTTTTTATGGCTGCACATGAACATGATTTAAGTGTTTTATAGGTTGAAATTTAAAGCCCGTTTTTATGACGAATCAGATTACCACTGTCAAATTGTGTGTTTTGGTGCGATCATTGAGAGTTGCTGTTTATAGGATTGTCCTCAGTCTGTCAAAGTGTGTGTGCCATGATAAGGCCATTGTAGAGAGGGATTGTCGCTTGGCCCCAGCCCAGCGCGCGTGTGTGAGGGAGAGTCTTGTGCTCTCAGGCCGCAGGCTGCTACTGCCTTACTGTCTGCCTGGATACTAGCACCACACAGGACCTGCCAAACACACAATGCCTAACACAGGAATCACATCAATAAACTCTTACACATACTAATACACACATTTTAGGATCATGCAGTAACAACAAAACTGTCACATAGTTTTAGATGTAAAACAGATGAGTCTTTTAGTCACAAACATACACACTCCCCAAACAGCTAAAACAGCCAGACTATAGCAGTAGCTTGAGCCAGACATTGTTGTATGTCAGCCACCATCATGGGTGCACACCTCTCACTGGGCCAAACATCACTGTAGTCTTCACATGCAGCCAAACACTGGCTGTGTTGTAGTTTTTGTCACATTAGAAAAAACACACACGAGAAACACCATCACAGCAACCGCTCACACACACACCAAACACATTTCACAGCCAAGTCCTCGAACACACACTGCCTCGCCATTGGCTGGCCACATATACATACAAACACATGCTCATGACCTAATATTATCTCAGCTGGAATTTTCTGGAAATTTCAAATAGTGCAGAACAGCTTCATGCACTTATTCAGCAGCCATCAAACACACAATCTGCCTATGCAGAAGTTTATGCTTATTTGCTAATGTGACTCAGTCTCCCTCTTTGTTTTTCTCAACCTCTTGCTCTCCAAGCCAAACACCGAGCACCTCACACGGCCCCGGCCAAAGCCTGGCAGTAACAGCGGCTTAACTCCACGGATCCATCTGTGGCTGAGATAAAGCAGCCGCATTCAGCAGCCCTCACACCTAATCCTGTGAATATTACTACTATATGTGAAAGTGATATTTTAAAATACAGATTTGATCACATATATGAATATATTATATACATATATGATCCAATATTAATACATTTGTGTGTTTGCAGGCAAATTATACACAAAATATAGATATAGATATCAATTTGCCATATTTATTGGCCAATGATATTCACATTTTATTAAATTTTTTACTTAAGTGGCTAAGTGTACCAGCACTCCTAAAACTTTGCATTAACCTTTGTGTGGAGATAGTTTATAGAGAGACAAGTGTCCTAAGGCAGTCAGTGTCTGGATCCATAATATTGAACAACAATAATAAACAGTTTCTTCATTGGTGCAGTGAATAAAAACATGAGCTCATTGTATGGTTTTGTTTTCTTAGCATTTTGTAGGTCTTTAGCATCTCTGTCTTCCTGGCTCCTTTTTGATCCCGTACACACTTTTGTTTTGTCTCCTTAAACATGGCCCTTATTGTTGTTCTCACAGAGGTAAAGCCTCTGCTGATCTCTTTTGTTTATATTGTAGTTGGGCGAGAGACAGTGATGGCGGGAGAGAGAGAGTGTTGGAAAGGAGAAGAGGCTGCGATAGTGATTGTTCTGTTTGGCAGCACCGAGCACCGTTGGTGTGGGAAGAAGAGAAAGACGTCTTGTGTTTTGTTTATGACAGAGTAGCAAAAGCTGCCACAGGGAATCTCTGGGCTTGCCGTCAGGCTTTCTCAGGCTGTTCAGCAGCCAGCCTTTGAGCTCCGCTCTTGTAACAGCCCGCCACAACGTAAAAGCACAAGAAAAACTACGGACACTCAAACCTGGCTCCCACCGAAAATGTTGGCACAAATAATATATCCGTTAACTATCTTTTATTTTCTGGGGAATATAATTGACAAAAGTTTAAACTTTTACTTGAGATTCCGTATATTTTAACCGGATTTCAATGTGTGTAAAAATACTTTTTCTTGTTATTTTTAGTTTCAGTGACTACTGAAGCTTCTTCTTAAAAAGAAAAGAAAGGATCAATTTGAACTATTATCTCTGGACTTGTTACGTCTTACTCAGCACAAATATTATATTTATATATGATTGGAAAAAGTGAAGACAAAAACAACATTTGTAAGGTCCCAAGTTAGCACTGAGCTCTTACTCATACCCTGGCTCTGATTCTTTATTTTCCTTTGTGCACCGTAAGTGTGATCATAAAAAGATGTTTCAAATGTGTTTCTAATCAAAAGTGCAGTACAGGAAATTTGCAGTCACTCCGAGGGAGGTGTGAAATGTGCTCGCCGTGCCATTTCTGCCATGACCGCTCCACACTCCACGCTCCGCTCTGCCAGATCCCTCCTCTTTCGCGCTATAGCAGCAGTGGAGCCTTGGACTGGCTTGTGAGAAAGCCCAGAGAAACCTCGAGCAGCTGCCAGCCCGGGCCAATTTACTGACCACAGGAACGACTCACAAATAAAAAGTACTCTTGTGAATATCACTGAGAACATCTCTGAATATGAGGATTTATTGGGGGAAAGTGGACATTATTATGCATTAGAGAGCAACGTCCTGACTCATGATGCTTGAACATTGACATAATATTGAGACTTATTCCACCGTTTTTTTATTGCTTTCTTCATGTCTGTAGAAAAAACTATTGTTAACAAATAGTTATTTATCTTCAAGGACAGAACAGAGGTCACAGGTCTTTCACTTTCTTCCATTTGTTTTTGATTAAATAAAATCTCAATGTTGAGGGACAGCGTGGTCCGACTTGAGTTGTACGCTGTGGGAACAGGGCCTATATCAGATAGGAAAGAAGTGTTAGTTAGTCTCAGTTACAGTTTTGTAATTCTGTTTTTCTGTCCGATAATGAGAAACATCATGGTGTCCAAAATCCGAAGGGCTAATATGAAGCCATGGTCTGTCACTTTAAAGACAGTGAGCACTATTCTTGGCGTTGGAAAAAGTCTGTGTATCTGGATAGCTGATGGTGGAGGGCCAGCCAAAGCCCTGTTGTGAGCTTATTCGCTGCAGAAGATGCACACGCGTCTGCAGACGTGTGCTGGAGAAGGGGATGTTACAGGCTTATTTACCCCGGCCAAAACCCCAGGCTCTGCGTTTATCTGTGAGACCATGGCGACAAAACCACACTGCGGGCAAACAGAAGTACAGACACTGTGGTTTGCCTTGGTCTTGCATTAAGGTGACCAGTGAAAATGCTCATGCTTTCTTATACAGCATGGAGCTTTTGTCCTCAAAACATCTCATAGAATTTTATAGACTTCATTAGTCTTATTTTTTTTCTCATGTGCTCAACAATTGTTATCACTTTTAATAGTATGATTATACAGTAGTTTATGTAAATGCAGTTCTGGTGTGAAATAGATGAAAAAGTGCAGAAGAAATCACGCACATAATGTACAAAAGTATGCATTTTGTGTATATAAATTCAATATTTTGATAATATTAACAAAACATTTCAGTTTTAGGACAAGTTTTTTAAAAAATATTAAATTCGTCGCCCAAACCAGTGCGCGGGTGGCAGTTTCTGTTCTCATAGCTGGCTCCCATTTCCACTTTTTGTAGCTGCGCCAAGCCCAAAAATGCAACTATTCCAAAAAGATGTATACCCTGTCAGGAGGGTTTCCCGACCTCAGAGCTGCAGTGAGAGAGAGCAGAAAAAAGGAGAAACGCTCACGATCAAACAGGCCAAGAGCCGGGGAACATGCCTTATTCACTGTGCGCCGCTCACAGCAGTCCCTGGCATCGGCTCCCGAGTCTGGCCAGTCACTCCGCTCTGTACCACACTGCCTTAGTAATGCTACAATTAGACACATAATAGCAGCATTACAATTTTATTTGGTTTTCCCATACAGATGTTTTGTGTGTGTGTTTTTTTCTCCCTGAAACGCTCTCCTCGTCCAATGTTTCGGATTGATATTCTTGTAGAAAAATGTTGAAGAGATCGTCTTTAAGTGTGTGAGAGGAGTTTGTGCGAAGATTTGTGTTGGTGGCCGTTTTTTGGCATGATGCTATCTCTGTTTTTGGAAGACGCCAAATTTTTTTGTCCAAATCTCTGCCAACCTCCTCCCTCACATCCTGCCTTTCTGCTCTTTTCTTCTCTTTCTTTTATGACTTGTTCTGTTTTCTTTGATTCCTCTTTTGGGTCTAAACAAATGCCCTCGCTCAACAGCCTCATTAGCACCTGGGCTTTCGTTTGTGGCAACTGAAAAATCTATAATAACTTGTAAGCCCAAACATTTTACAACTGAATAGGACAATTGTTTTTTTGTTTTTTTAATGGACAATGCTGGACTTGGCTTTCAATATTTAAATAATCTGTTGCTGCTTTTCTATACAAAGCTCCTTCATTAAGTTGTAAAATACATCGATTAATTAGAGTTGGGAATGACAAAAAAAGAAAATTCTCATATTGATTGATCACAATTTGTATTTTTAAAAACATAATATAATGACTTTTAATATTATATAATTTCTCAACATAAACAATATAGACTTTAATTATTGCTATTTAAAACAAAAAACTGTTCAATTCTTTTCTTCAAAGTCTGAATTCTGCTATAATATATAATATCTACATTATAAATGACTTTATCTCAATTAAAATTAATTTAATCGCACAGACCTCCTATCGATATACGTTTATTAGTTCTATTGATATTAGTTTCAGCTACCTAGTGTGGTAATATAACAATTTATGATAACTTTACTCA